AATGTTTATTTTAAACAATAAGACTGACAATATTATTTGTATAATGTTTTGTATTATCTTTTGTTTGTTTGATTGTGTACCTTGTGTGTTTACTTTGTTTGTTTACTTTACCTTTGTCTACAAATTGTAAAATTTTTTGACAATAAAGGCATTTATTTATTTATAAAAAAGTCAATTTAACGCCTAAGCATAAAAGTAAAGCACTTTTAAGCTGAGGCCGCAGTGCAAGCAAGTTACCTGGAGGGCAGTGGGTATCGAGGCGCCAAGCGACCCTCCAAGTAACCCGGGAGGTATGTTTCCGTAACATGCTATCTTAACCAAACCAGCCGCACGCAGAGCAATCCCCCACCAACTTAAGCCACAAACTATGGCCACAAAGCAACTCGCCAAGCGAGCCACTTGAGGATCCGTCGTGTTCGATATTTTCAGCCAGGCGTAAAGTAGTTTTGGTCTAAAAATGGAAGAAAAATTGTAATGCACAATTGTTCTGCAGAAATTGCTTCCCTGAAGTTGGTAGACGTCCTTTATAATTTGTCTTGAACTTTATTAAGCAGAAAATCAAACGATTTTACACTCATACGTGCATAATTAAAAAAAACTGTCAGGGTAATTTCGCATTTTCTTGTAAACTCGCAAAAATCCTCCATCATGGCATAGATACCATGATGGAGGATTTTCAAGTTATACTCATGCACCCACATCTTCTTATTTTCCATATTTACAAAGTTCACATAAGAATTGTCACAGAGCAGAAGCCTTCTGGCAAATTTTGAAAGGGGCATGATACTTAAGACACTCATGGGAGCTACAATTTGCATCCAATCTGATTAGATTGGTTATTGTTTTAATAATTTTTCGTCCACTACTGCGTACAAGGTATATTTACCCTCTACCCATTAACCTTCACCCTCTACCCGACCAGCTTCCCTCCACCCGTCTATAGTGCGCCTAAGCATAAAAGTACAAAAATATATTATTAAACTGATATAAAGTGTCAAATTCAACGAGCATAACCACAGTTTCTCGATATATAATTACAGTTTCTCGATATTTAATTAATTAATTATATATAATAAATTATTATTATATAATAATACGTACAGCCTTGCCACGTGTCAGCCATAAAAAGTGTCATTTTTACTCCTAATAAAACAATATACTATTATTATTCAAATAGAAAAGTAAAAATTTGAAGTTAACGTCTCCTTTTTACTGCCAGGGACGCTATTCTGTACACGGCATCGACAACCGTCGGTATCGGTATGTTACGATAGTTTTTTATATAGTAAAAATGTGTTAATTGTTGTTGCCATAGTTACCAATCGGTCATAGGGCAGATATCGCAAATTTGTACCGACGGGGATCGGAATCTCTAGCGTGCCCTTCTTAACCCCACGGTAGAGATACCGATAGTTGTCGGTACAAATTTGCTATATGTCCTATTAATGACAGCTAAAATTATGACAACAACAATCAACACGACGTTCATTGGCCGTACGTACCGACAGCTGTCGGTAACTTACGATACCGACGATATAGTACGGTTAGAAAGACTATTTATTTAAACTGAACAATAATTTTCGAAACATACATTTTATATTTTTTTGTTGTCGAGTGTTATTCTAGTGTTTTCCTTATTTAAGTGTATTTATGTGTGTTTTATATTAATCTTAAGTTTTGTTTTTTTGCTATTTTCACAATGTTCCATGCCTGCTCTTGTAACTTTTGTTAATCGGAACAAATAAATGAATATGTATCTATCTATCTACCATGTATACAAGGTGGTTTTTACTTAAAATTTCCTACGCAACCAATTATTTTTTTCACAAGAAACTATAATTTCAATGAAAACAGGTCACTCCGCCAAATTTTCCCAACACCAACGACTCAGCCCGACAGATATAACGGAAAAAATACAATAGCAACAATCGTCCGGCCGGCAAAACGTACCTATACCATTTTCTCTTTCTGGTCGCCTTTCGCAACCACGGTCTCAACTCGCAGATATTTATTTCCTTTTCTTTCTATCTCTCTCCATCTCGCTCGAAGAACGGTCGTGAACGTTCTTTAAGTTGTGAGAAAGAAAAAAAATCGGCATGGGTCAAGAAACCATGACGCCGACGAGGCTTTTGCTTGCATTGTAAGGTTGTTGCAAAACTAAGGCGTACCAGACGAGGTTACCAATATAACTGGCCTATGGTGTCTCTGTTATTGTGTTTCAATTTTTCGTTCTATATTTTTTATTAAATACTATTACTAATATAGGGTGAAAATGCCTATTCTCGACCAGTTAAGGGAGATTCCAACTCCAAGTGGACAAAAAATAAATAAATCATCTAATATTTGTTATATTGTTCAAAATAGATTATTTAATAAAGTAATCTATTTTATTTGATTATTTTAAAATTTATTATACAGGGTGGCGCACCTCATTCGCCTCGGTTAGTTATATCCTTGTTTATATATTAATAGTTAGTCAATGTGCCTGTATAAGTCGATGCTGCCAACTGGTGGCAGAAATTAAAACGTAAAAAGGGGCGGAGACTATTGAATTTGGCAAAGAAGTAGGGACTAGGAATTCTTCGAATTTAATTCTCGGTAAAGAATAAAATATCTTATCTGCTTTGAACCAAATTTTTACCTCAAAGCGTTATTTACATTTTTTATTTTTGGATATGGATTTATATTTATTTTGATTTTCATGGCCCCTTGTTAAATACTAAATTATTATATTAGGTATATATGTATATATTTTATTTCTAGATGGATAATTAAAAAAATATATGAAACTATACCTACCTACCTCTGTAACTTTGTAAAAAGTATGACGGATTTAACATAATGTTTTTTTTTAAATGTAACATCCTATTTTATTTTAGATCCTGCGTAAAATTATTACTTTTTTATGTATAATCCTTGTATAATGGTGTAACCTAAAACTAGTTTTCTAATATTTCAATTTGTTGATGAAGAAAAAATATTAGATACTATGTAGATATTTAAGGCAGATGCTACAGGGTGTTCAACATATATTAATGGTTAATTCTACGTATTTAAAATTAAAAAAATATCTGCAGACTCTTTCAATGACACAGCCTATACTGAGTGTTTTTTTTTAAAGTGGTTCACCTCTATAACTTTTTTATTTTTTCAGATTCCGAGAAAAAAACTAAATTGGGAATGTTAGTAGGTATATGACATAAATCGAGATTGATTCGTATTCAGTTAGTTTCGGTCACTTCCTGTTTCACCGGAAATGTATACATTTGATTTTTAAATGGTACCCTCGGTATTTTTTATACCGTAAGATCGAATAAAAACGGCGTCAGCGATGGCTATGAAATGAACATCGATGACATTTCTCATATAAATTTACATATAAAATGACAGCGCTTTTCATTTCATAGCCATTGCTGACGCCGTTTTTATTCGATCATACGGTACTTTATTTGATAGAAAATGACATTCTGAATAGAATGACAACTTTTGACATCAACAATCATATGTCAACTTTTGACATTTTCAATTAAATCAAAAATAGCATTTTAAAATTCAATCTAGTGTCATGGCTGTGTTAAAACCATTATTTTTTAATCAAGGATTAATCAAGGAGCTTTGGAAAAATTGATTTGGTCGTCTAATATTTTTTGTGTCTTTTCCTGGTCAGTTGAAATATGCCCATTTCGTATTTTAATCATAACTCAATTTTTTTTAATGAAACGAGAGTGGCTCATTAGCATATTTGGAAAAGCATTTTTTGATACCTAATAAATTTTGGTACCTAATTTTGGTAAATAATTTGGTACCACACACTCCGTATGTCGAGTCAAACTGTCGTTATCTTTACGACCGGTTACATGTTGTTTATTATCATGGCACTCTACTAGATTGAACTTTAAAATACTATTTTTTAAGTAAAAGAGTCAAAAGTTGACATTGAATTATTCTATTGAGAATGCCATATTCTGCAAAATAAAGTAAAAAAATACCGACGGTACCATTTAAAAACCAAAAGTTGTAGTCATTTCCGGTGAAACAAGAAATGACCGAAACTAATTGAATACATCAATCAAGCTACTTTTGAAAAACACCCGATATATTATAATTCTTTCTGATAGATTTTACAAAATCCTTCAACTTCTATTAAGAATGTCATATAACTAAATAAATCACTTTACTTAATGTTTAATAATAAATAATTTTTGTTTTGTCATATGGCAACTTGTTATAATGTAAATGAATTAAAAGAAGGATAAAATTCAGAACAGATTGCAAGCTGTTGAGTATAGGTGTACTTAATATACTTTCTTAACAAATGTTGAAAGGTTTTGTAAAATCACTAGAAAAAATAATAATATATATATCGGATCAGCCAAAAAAAATGTTTGAACACAGTGTAGCATCTAACTGCAAGTATTTTTACATATAAATATATTTTTTTTTCATCTCTGTAAAACACTCCTACCAAATTTGTGTAGTCCAACTTCGGAAACAACTGACAGTTAAGTAACATAGGAATAAAATTTTACTTTTTTTTTAAATTGTAAATACTTACTAACGTTATTTATAAAAAAAAGTTATAGAATTTTAGGCAGAATCGAAAATAAAATAAAAATGGAGTTTTGCATTAAAAAACATGTATCCGCCACATTTTTTGAAGCAACCAGTATACTCAAAAATAACATTTGAACTGTGTCTCTAAAGATTCTCTATACCCTTTTTTTTATTTTTTTGGAATTCCCAAAACAAACGAGATAATTAACTTTATTTCTTTCGTGATATCTCATTTTATAATATTTCGGAAGAATTAATCAGGTATCTTATTTTTATAATTATTAGAAATAAATCGGAATTAAAGGATAAGGGATATGTAAATATATACCATACGATAAAAAAAAACGGCCTCAGAGGTGGTTTGGAAATGAATATCGATGTCATTTGTACGTAAACAAATAGACGCCGTTTTTTTTCGCTCATACCGTATAAGAAAAAAAATTTAATAAAGCAAACGCATTTATTAATACATGTATATAGATTTACATGGTATGAAGAAATTCGCATTATGATCTCTGAAGGTCCCACCAATGCTTGGTTAAAGTGGCGAGTACGACCACTTAGCAGTCACACCTATAATAATTTAATAAAATATGAATATAATAAACAAACTTATTTCTTTTAGATTTTTTAAAAGCGAGTTATATGTGTTAAGTGGTTTTTGATTATTTTAGACTAATTTTTTTAGACATATGATTATTTTAGACCAAATTGTCTGCCCACTCAAACGTCTTTCAAAATTATAATGTAGGAAATTCTTAATATGTTTTAATTGGGAATACTTTTAGAAAGTTTCATTTTCACCAAACAAAACTACGTGTGTATAATAAATTGCAGTATAATCAACTATAATGCACGATATATACTGGGGGCGTCAAAACTAGATGTTGGGTTTTTCTCAATTATTTCGAACAGAAGTCCAATTTTTTCTCCAAAAATTTTGTCCAACTTTGTTTTGAAAAATAATTTTTAAATCCATAATCGATGTTTATACAGCAATGTCCTCTTTTAGAATAGATAATTATTTTCAGCTGCATCGATAAAATAAATCATATTTACTGATGCCAAGTAAAAAAATAATTAGGAAATTATTTTAGACATCTAATTCTTAATTTTTGTCGCTGATAAATAGATACATCACTTTTGACGACAAACCTACTAATAAAAATTGCGTAAAACAAATCATGTTTATTCGCAAAGAGACAATTGAAAACAATTTAATAACTATTAATTTGGGATATAGATCTTAATAAAACAAAAGTTGCATAAAAGCTTTGTTGATTTATGATATAAAATACAGTGTTTCATTTGAAATAGCAAAGAAAAATATAATATCTAGTTTTGACTCATCCTGTATATAATAAACAATTTAGTCTATTTTAATATTATTATATGAATTATATAATTATTAATTATTAACTTAAATTAGTTCCAGTAAAAAACGTCGATATTACCTATTTTTAACTTAACTTAGAAAGAGAGGGCTTTAAATATATATTTTATTATATAAACAATAAAATTCAATCCAAAAAGGGTCAAAATATATTCTTTGGTCAAAATGAACTCTATACGACTACGACATTATGGTATTTTTTGGATGACAATTTAATAACAAATCCACCAAGCAAAAAATACAAAATATAGCCTTTCTTTTCACAAACTCATAACCTTTGCTCATAACTAATAACTTTAAAAGTAAATATATATTTGAATCATCCTGTATATCTATAAAAATACCTCCCTGTCAAATTTACGCTACTTTTTGCAAGCATATTTTACAAAAAATATGATTTGAGTGAAAATATAAAATAGGAAATCTGATATGAAGCTTTATCTAAACACAGGGTTGACTGTAGATAAAAAATATTTTACGTTATCAAGTTATTAAGAAAAATTCTCGGAAAAATTATAAAATACACAATATATCTGACAATTCCAAAAAGCAAAGTGAGAAATGAAACAATTTATAGCATAAAATCAGTATTTTTTTAAACTTTTAAGCAAACTGGGCATTATCGTTTAATCTATCTATCAATCTATCAAATGTTTATTATTAAACTTATCTCAGACTCTATAACATTTTTTCCCAAGAGTGATTTAAAACAAATTTATATGAATTTAGAAATAAATATGAACAGTATTTACTTACCTGTAAAACAGATGCTTTTTGCTTAATTAAATATGTTGGAAAATATTATCCAGTAGGTACAAATACACAACACTTAAACACAACAAAATAAACTAATAAAATAATAGTTTCTAATCCAAATTTCACAAATACTGTTTATGTTTCTTCGCGAGGGACGAAAAACTGAATTTTTAATTACTCAGATATGCATTAAGGTATATTTCAATTCAAAAGCTTATAAATATTTATTTTTATAAGACATAACCTAAACGAAACGAAATTACAAGTCGAGAAAGATCAACAAAACTGCCGAATTTAGAAGCGAATATAACTTTTTTCCTTTTTTCTTGTCACAGTTGAAACAAACAAGGATAAAGCTATATTTCGTAAAACATGGGTGAAACGTGCTAATAAGTGGCCCAATAGATGTGACCTCGCGCCCTTCCATTTTTGAACGATGGGCGGGTTTAACGGATTCCCCTCAAAGAAAATCGTAGGGGAATACAAAAATTCAGAACGGGCAAGGCGCCACCTAGAAGACGGGCTTGTACTAAGCCCTCATTGTACATCTATTTATACATAATCAAGGGTTATATGAAAACGGAAAGACGTGCAAACAAGATATTTTGAGGGTATATATGTGGGAAGGCAATGTGCATAATTTAAAATTATTTTGAATTGTACAGGAAATGTCAGAACTAAGACCCACACCAAAGTTATATTTTTTCTTATGAAACACCCGGTATTTTATTTCATATTTGGATCCTTGGACACAAAATAAGGCCATTCGTTATAAGGGTTAAATATGTTTATAACCTTTGATTTTTGAGATATTTAAAGATATTTAAATATGCATGCTATAATAAAAAAAGATTATCAACACCCTGTACATTACTTTTTAGAATTAATTCTTGTGCTGAGTTTAAAGGTGGGAAAATAAAATTTACTGAAAAATGTTATTGCTTCCTTAAAGTTATACAGGGGCACCAAAAATTTCTGATCTATTTTAAGGATTTATTTTATATAATAAAACATTTATATTAAACACCATGTATTTTTTTAAATAAATGGAAGCAGATTCAAATGCTCTTTCAAACTATATTAGGGTTTCCTATATACCCATCTAGCTCAGATTTTGAAAAAAAGGCGATTTTTTAATAAAATCGCAATCAAGATCGCTGGTGTCGCCATGGCAATTTTCCAGTGACATTTAGACTTATAACAGTTTACTTAAATTTACCTACAATAGTTTAATATAAGTAAGTATATATTCATTATTTTATCAAGAAAAATAAGCAGTAGGTATCTGCTAGCGGAACGAATGGATATGTTACTAGTTATTTTATTTTGTGAGAAAAATTTATTCTTGGCCCTCAAGGGTTTATGCTCAAAGATATTATCTAAATAGGAATCTCCCCGATAAGCGTTCTTTTAAAAAACTACTTACTGTTCTAATTCACAGAGCTGGTAACGTGGTTTCTAAAAAACCTATTAGGCAGAAACCTGTTGTTGGAAATGAAGAAAATGAATTTTCCGTAAATGGCTCTTTTATATGAAATCCATATATCTACAAGTCATCGTAAAATGAATCAAAAATCTACTTCTCAGTTTTTCTTGATTGAATAATAAATACATATTTAATAAATATTATTTATTAAACTATTATAGGTAAATTAAATAAATGTAAACTGGTATAAATTTAAATAAAGTCCATAAACTAATTTCAATTTTGAAAATAGCTACTAACTGTCACTAGAAACTTGCCATAACGACACTAGCCCTCTTGGTTGCCATTTTATTGAAAAATTGCTCTTCAAAATCTGAGCTAGATAGGTATAGGAAACCGTAATATAGTTTGAAAGAGCATTTGAATCGTCTTCTATTTATTTTAAAAATACAGGGTGTTGTATTTGAAATTACGTATTTATGTAAAATAAATGTTTCAAGTTTTAAATAATAAGTTTTTATGTAAAAAAATATTTTAAATAGACCAGCAATTTTTGATACCCCTGTATACATTAAACGAAGGGATCTAATTTTTCAGTAAAGTTTATTTCTTTGGCTTAAAAGTCAGCATAAGAATTAATTCTGAAAAGTAATGTACAAGGTGTTGACAAACTTTTTCTTAGCATGTTTATTATAGCTATGCTTTTATATAGTATTCATATTTAAATATCTTTAAATATCTAAAAAACCTAAGCTTGTAAACATATTTAACCCTTATTTTTTATATTTGATGCGTTATTTTGTGTCCACGGATCCAAATATGAAATAAAATCCCGGGTGTTCTATAAGAAAAAATATAATTTGGTGTGGATCTTAGTTCTGACATACCCTGTACATTTCAAAATAATTTTAAATTATACACATTGCCATGCCACATATACCCATAAAATATTTTGTTTCTACATCTTTCCGTTTTCGTATAATCAACCGAGGCGGATGAGGTGCGCCACCCTGTATTAACAGTGTCTATTATAAAGAAAAATAGGTCTGCCCTATTTCAACAAAACTTAAACCTTGAATTAAACGATATAAACACAAATAAATAGTACCTAATATTAAAATTAAATAATATACCTATAATGAATGAAAATAATATATTAATAATAACATACAAACCCCATAAGAATAATTTTGCCCAGTTTGGTTCTCAATGTTCTCATTGAAAAGGTAAGTAGGCACAAACGAAGTATTTAAAATATTTTTTTTTATGGAAATGACTTCGTTATATGGCAATGTTATAAGAAGAGTTATTTTTTAAGTATCTATAGTTAAAAATAAATATAAAAATGTGGTATGCGTAAAAATAATAATTAATATGATTTGTTTCCAGAATTGTTAGTAAAAAAGGGTAAAAGACACTGATATGATCAGAATTGATACTCGTAATTTTTTGTGTACAAATTTAAAATTACAGTGAATACAAATATGTTGAGTATGGATAATGTAGGAAGTGGCAATACACTGGCGCGAGAAATTTCAGGTGAATCGGAAAATGTCAAGAAAAAGATAAAATTTTCAACTATTTTTTTTTTTCGCAAAAAAACCTAAACTTACAGTTGAGGGTTGGAACCTTTGGTGTTACACAGCAAAATAAAAACACTAAATCACCACAATACACCAAAACACTTTTACTTTTACACTGGACGCGCGTTTCGCTAACCATATTAGCATCATCAGCGGATGATTATAAACTGAATTTAGAGTTTATAATCATCTGCTGATGATGCTAACATGGTTAGTGAAACGCACGTCCAGTGTAAAAGTAAAAGTGTTTTGGTGTATTGTGGTGATTTAGTGTTTTTATTTTAACTTCATAAACGTTTTTCTGGGGCCAAAATACCGTATGATCGAGAAAAAACGGCGTCAGCGATGGTTATGGAATGAAGATCGCTGTCATTTTATATGTAAATTTATATGGGAAATGTCATTGATGTTCATTTCCCAGCCAACTGGACGCCGTTTTTTTTTCGATCATACGGTATATTACCAGTTAAAATATACTTATTTCTGGGACACCCTGTCTAAAGAAACTACACATCAATTATTTAATTAATTTTCTTAGCGATGTTTAGATATACTGTGAGGGAATAAAGAGTTTCTCTGCATGAAAAAAAACAATGTTTAATTTTGTTTTTATGTACCTATAGACAGGCTATATAAAACTTTTTAAGAAAGTTTGATAGTTGACATTTAATTTTATATCAAATTTAATTTTTAGTTTATTAGAAGAAAATTGTGCGGTAGGTACCTAATATGTATATGATTAAAAACATTAAATTATGCATAATTATTTATTGGGTACTGCCTTTTGCACTTTTAAAAGTTAAGTACCAATATACGAGTACCTATACTAATCTAACCCACAAGCGCAGCGTCCCAGTGCATTTTTTTAAAGGCGGCTTTAAAAAACCGGTTCACCAGGCCAGAAAGACCTAAAACCTCCGCGTCTTTCGTTCAGTGACCACGAAACGACAGGAAAACTCACCTACCTTGAGTAAAGAATCCTATTACGACGGTCAGCAGCAACAGCGGCGCGTCTTTAGACCCCATCACCGGCTTCATTCTTCCTTCTCTCGTCGAAATAGAACTGTTTTAATCCTAAAAAGCGATAAATAATCACTAGTACACACTGGTCACACAATTTTACACTGATCGCGAGTGAAAAACACCGCGATTTGTAGCTGGAAAAAAGTTTGTAAAACTTTTGCGTCAAGAAAAGACTATCGGAGCGCGTCAGGTGGCGTCGAGAATCACAATCAGAGCCTACGCGACTGTCGAACTACGAAAGGCGCCAAACGACTGAATTTAAAGTTAGTGGAAAACGCGCTACGGTCTGCGCTCAAGCAGCGCCGCCAGATTGGGCAGTTTAGCGCAAGTTGAGAACTTTTTACTGATTATTTGCTCCAGGAAATATCCAAACGGTACAAATTATATATTTTGTAACGGTGTAATTATTATTAGAGCAATTTTTTAAAGTTTAAACGGAAAATTATTGAATAAAAAAGTGATATTTACAATGAAAATAATTTTAAATTTTGCTGAGCACTGTTAGTTTTGATTCTAACGATTCTTAGCATAATCCTGATATGAAGATTCAAAATGAGGATTTACTCATTTAGGAGTTTCAAACTCTGTTTCGAAAAACCGTTTAATTAAATTGAATAACCTTATTCTTAAACTTAGTTCTGTTATCAGAGTTAAGTTCTTTTTTATTTGGGCTAGTTGGTGTAATGGTAAACAAGGGCAATTGTAAACAGGTCCAATAACTTTTGAATTTGGCGGGTATGGAATAAGTGGACTGGCTACAGTGGCGCCCACATCTTTGATGTGTATTGACCATGTATTGACTCGATTAAATGAATTTCTAGTACTATTTGTTTATGGTGCACAAACATTTTGTTTGGAGAGCTGTTTTAAAACTTGTAAAACGTTTTATACCTTAGCGAAATTTTGTTTAAAAAATTCAATTTGTGAATAAGGTAAGATAATTTATATACGTAGTAGTTTCATTTAATGTTGTATTAGTAAAATGCATGTTACAATTTGAGATTAACTTTTACGGGAAATGAAGTATAGAGGTGTTTATAAATGTCCCAGTAAAATAGAATTGCGGGGCAATTGTAAACTTGATTTTGGGGTAACAGTAAACACGTGTTAACACTGGTAAGC